CCCCCCTCTCTGTTTCTCTCTCCCTCTCTCTCCCTCCCTCTCCCTCTCTCTCTCTCTCAGACCCTAAAACAGTTGGCTCGCGTGCTCTTGTCTAGTTATAGCTCCTCGCGGAGCAGCCGAAGCCTCCTCAATTCCTTTTCTCCTCCTCTCACCTCCTCCTCCCGCACCTCCGCACTGCGATACCTCGAGGTGACGGCTCCCCCGTCTCTGGAGCCCAACACCCGGAGCTCAGCGTCGGCTGGCCGGTCCGGGGCACGGACACGGAGGCGTGTGTTTTTTGGCGGAGCCTCCTCAAGCCGACAAGCAGATGCACGACACCCGGTCCCGGTGCCCCCACAGCGGACGGGGAGGCCGACGAGCAGCGCAGTAATGGGACAGTTTTCGGGGGGATGCTACTTGACTTTCGCCGCCACCCTCGTGCTCCTCGCTCCGCTCGTCCCGGCCACGCTGGCCAGAGGTAAGCCCGGAGCACGCACTCCGCAGCGGCTTGTTGTTCCGTGTCACTCGTCGGGAGGGAGGAATACAGGTGGTGTGTGTGTTTGTGGGGAAAAAAAAAAAAGTGATATTTGAGCAGTTTGCGTTCATGAAAAGAAACATTCAACACATTCAGACTGCACCTGAAGTTTTTATTTCTACTGCGCCACTTGGATGAAATGTTTGAGTTGGTTTTCTTTTATTTCTCTCAAATGAAGCTCATTTCAGTGATGGGGTAATGAAATGAGCATCTTCTTTTAAAAAACACATTTAGTCGAGGATGCTGCTCGAGATATGATTCCTTCCACCAGTGCTCGTTTATTACTTCGAGACCACGATGGAGCAGACTGATCCTCACTATGAGGAATGTGGAATATGAATAATTAGGAAAGGTGAGATCTGGTTTAACCAAGACAAGGTTTAAATATGAAGCACACTTTTCTAATCACTGAGCATCATCACATCAGCTGCAGGCTGCTCTGTTGTCCTGTGTCAAAGCCCACTGATAGTGTGGCTGTATCATAACTGCAATGTCTGATCATTCGAAATCCATTTTTGCAATTGTCCTGCCCCCCCCCTCCACAATTTAAACCTGCTCAATCCCTTTGAGCAGATCCTCCTTCATTAGGCTGCATGGATGGTTTTATTGAGAAATTGTCCAGTTTTTAGGAGGCACCGTTAAATTGGACAAGCTGCTCCCCGTCTCTTCTGTTCTCTCCTGTGGCCTGAGCTTTTGTTCCACACAGAGTAAAGAATACTCAGTGATGAATGGAGATAATTGCTGAAGAGCTATGTGCTCGCTTTAATTGGTTGTTCTGACAGTTGTGAATTCCTTCTTTAAAACATTAGATGGTGACAAAAGCCTTCAATTTGCCGGTGAATCCGCAAATTGGGTTGTTCTGTGGAGCATAACCCACCACCAGCATTATCAAAATGTGAGTGGTGCTGTTAAATCTCGGTGTCTTCCCCAGTGGTGATGCACAAATGTTTGATTTGTGCATGTGATGACAGTTTGAGAGCCTGAGAGAATACAGAGATGCTAACACCTCTCTGTTTTAAAATGTTTTGGTCAGTGATTTCCTATTTTTTATTCCTCTGGTGAATCCATCCTGACCTGTTGACATCAATTCAGCTCACATGACAGTACAACAAAGATGCATTTGCAATTCAATTAGTTAAGCAGCCCCAAGGTTTTCGCTCCTTTTTGCATCCCGAGTTTTGAAATTAGCTTCAACTTGAAAATTAGCATTCCATAAATATTAGATAGTGAGTGGATATCTTCAGTGCAGCTTTGCATGTCGGGACCAGGAGGGTTTTTTGTCAGTCTTTTAAAGTTGATCTGAAAAGGGTGGTTTAATTTCACCTTTCTACACAGGCTGTGCATTGTATTTACACGAGCAGAGTTTCCACTGTGGCTGCATTTCCGTGTGAAATGTTGCATGATATTCTGAAGGAAAAAAACAATAGTGTCATGAGTGCGTGAAAGTAAAATGTGCCAGTGCGTATAAGATGAAGTTTTCATAAGCTGCATAAATAAATGTTGTAAAAGATGCGTCAGGTTTTAAAGTGGGGTCTGCATTTGTGATGGCTCTCCGACTTGGCTGTTATAAATATTTAGGTTGCAATAATATGGATGTCAACACTCAAATATCTGACTAAATAATTTAACACCTGCAGATGAGGCTAAATTATGGAGCGTGGCTGTTATAAAGATTCAGTCTTCCGGTCACACACGTATGGCATGTTCTACATATTGTAATTTATTTGTTGATTACAAGATAAGCTATAATTCAGGGATGGACATTTATTCTTTGTCTTGCAAGGAGCACCACTCACCTGCAAGCGTGGATTTGAAGCTTAATGCACTGATGGAGTGGAGAGAGCCTGAACTGACGATAACAAACTCACCCTCAAGGAGAAAAACCTCGAATCAGTCCCTTCAGGTGCTTTCAGGGAGGTGACGGGGCTGTCGAAGTGTTGAGCAGCGGCAGTGAATGTAACAGAGGTGTTTGCAGAGGGACCAGTGAGGCAGCAGTGTCGACAGTGACAGAGTGAGCCAGTGCTTCGCAGCCTGGAGACGTTCACATGTGAGCAGAGTGTGTCGCATGTAAGTGGAGCTGCACGACTCGTGTTGTCTGGCTGAGGAAACCATGAGCTGCATCCGACTTAAAATTGATGCCCAAGTAGAGCTATTCAGGGTTTTTTTTACAAAATGCAAAGTGACAACTTATTTTAACCAAAGGCAACCACAAAAACATTTTTGGCATCTCATGTTGAGACGTTCCAATACCATTTCCCCTCCATCACTGGACACCTGGAAACCAGTGCATTTAAAAAACATAACTTGTGTAACAATATCAGTTGATAGTTGCAATAATTATTGTCTGGCTCAGTCCTTTGAAAACAAATGCATACAGAGAATGAATAACATAGAGCTATCCATCTAGTTTGACAGTCATAACTAAAAAAGACCACAAATAAATGAATCCAGGAAAACACAATTACCTCATTTTATAAGAATAAGTTTGAACTCAGTAAGGTGTACATCACAGATGGAATTCTTGGCTTTGCCAGCATGAAATATTACCAATTACTCTGGCTAACACTACACTACCGGAAATTCATTTCTAAAAACAGTGGTTGCCAGTAACCGTACAGCACAACTGCTGTTTTGGAGCGGAAAGTTATTTCCCCCGTAAACAAAATTGCAGTTTTATTTGGGTGAGAGTGAAGAGGTGGTATTTGAAGGGAATGTTCAGATTTGAACTCATGCTCGAGTTGGTATTTTCAGCTCGATTGGAGGCATTTCTGATGCTGCGTATCATAAACTCCAGTTGCATGTGGATTTTAGTTCAATTGGAGAGCCTGCAAAAATTGTCACAAAAACATGGAAGCATGGTAGAGTTGCAGTGTTTCAGATATTAAAGCTTCAACAAATATTCTGTAGATTTTCTTGACTTAACTACATTAATCGTTTAGTCTGGAAAATGTCCAAAAATTGCAGCAAATATTGACAATTTAGATGATGAACCAAGGGAAGATATGGATTTTTCTCAGGAATAATGAATCGATCATCACAATATTTGCTGATGATTTCTCTGTTGATCAATCGACGGATCGATTCAGCTCTAATTATGAGTCACACCCTCCTCCTGCTGCTAATGCATGCTTAGGCACCAAATGTTCATTAATCCATGGTTGAAAATAGTCCCTTAAAAATGCAGTTTCTGCAATTGCTTGAGTAATGTTTCCTAAAAACTACACTGCCCAGCTTTTTAGGTAAACTACTCTGCCCTTTAAAAAAATAAAGCTATATATTTGTGGCCTATTTTAAAAAAAGATTTACATCCTCAGTGACCTAATAAATCGACTCGGCCCTGAGTGCTACACCCAGGGTAGGGAAGTTGGTAATTATTGAGACATGGATTAACATGTTGGTTTGTAAACAATAATAAAAAAATAATAAAACCATTCTTATCCTTTTTAAGACTGGATGCTTTAACAACTAATGGGATAGACTGCTTGATTTAAAACATGAGTTAGGTCCTAATGGGCTATAAGAGGGTGAAATCAATAAATGTAACCCCTTCCGTGACACTGACATGTCAACAGTGTTAAGACATGTAAGTGGTTAGCCTGAAGCAAACGGCCACGCTCTGTCGAAATGCAAGGATGCAGCCGCCTGTCGCACTGACGCCTGATTGACACTAGATCATCACACAGAAGTTTACGAAAGATAACTGACACTTGAGCCTTCCTGCAACCTGAGTGTCATGCAAGACAGAGAAACGCTGCAAAATGCTAACACAAAACATAATTCTATTTCATTTTGTGTGCACAACTTTCCTTTTATTGTCGTAAAATTCGACATGCTCACGGCGGCTGAGGCTTGGAGCTGCAGCTCATTGTACCTCCTGCTGCTGGCTTGAGCTCGGTGTAAGTGAAAAAAACTCAAGAGAGAAACGGAGAGAGAAGAGGGGGGGGGGGATAAAGGGCAATGGAGTCATCTCTGCCATGTTTTATTTATCCCCCAAAAAATTACTGCCAGACTCTTTCTCAAGCTCCAGCTTTGATTTAACTGACATTCCACATGAGCAGAATTCGCGGGGACGTTCGGGCTGGTTTCCACAGTTGTTTCTCTTCCATAGGAGATTGCACGGTGGTCATTGCCCAGCTTCTATCTTGCATTATTCAAAGGGAGTCCATTTCTGTATCCAACTCACCAACCCCCTCCTCTTCTTCTCCACATTCTAAGGGGATCTAAGCTCACCAGCAGCCAAACCAGGGGTATGGGAAACACTGTCTACACTGAAAGCAGTAAGCTATGCGATCACAAAAGGGGAAAATGATGGGGAATGATGTTCAAGGAAAAAAAATTGCATGGAAGTAAATATGCAAACACTCATTACAAAGATAGGGATGATGAGTGTCTGGGTTGGACAGAGCTTCTGAGTAATCAAATAGCTATTGTTTTTTGTCTCTGGGATATCGAGGCATTGGAATTTGGTCAATAAATAAGCTTTTGTACATGATATTCTCAAGAGAGGCAGAATTGATTGGAAGAGAATCCTTTTGTTTGCTCCCATTAAAAAAAAAAAATAAAAAACAAGGCTTTCATTATAAATCTGTTGATGTAACTTAATATTTCTGCTCAATTTCCATTGTGGTTATACTGAATATAGATTCATGGAGGTACTCTCTACTTTGCTGTCAAGTTTAGTCTTTGTTGTATTGTTGAATTCCTTCCTTCCTACATTATTGGATGCGTTTATTTCTCTCAATATATTGTTTGTAATTAGAATTTATTAGGGGTGTCTCAGTGAGGTATTTCAAGTGATCCTTCATATGTCTTTACAGATAAAACACTTGCAGCACGCAGATGGCACAAAAACCTAACCACAGCCAACTTAGTCTGAAATCAACAACCGTCTCCGACAGTTGGCAGCATGGTAGTACAGTGGTTAGCACTTGCCCCACCGCAAG